CAACGGTGTGTGTGTGTGTGTGTGTGTGTGTGTGTGTGTGTGTGTGTGTGTGTGTTTCCATGCGGGCCCCCGTGCCCCATTTTCAGCCTGGACGGCCTCCTGCAACACTTCACTGGCCAAAATGTGGCACGTGTGTGTGTGTGTGTCCATGTGCAGTCCCCCTGCGCTCCATTTTGGGTTCCAGAGGCACCCCGGGCCAGTCCTTTGTTATTTCCAGGCCGTTCCCGCAGGCCAGATTTAAGGGCCTTGAGTTTGACACCCCTGATTTACAATGTTTTTGAACTTCTGGTTTTTGGCAAAAAACACCCACGGCAGGCAATGGATTCACTTAAAGGCTGCCCTGTTTTCTAAACAACTACTTCAGAAAAAGTCACAAAATCTGCTTCTGAACTTCGCCCTTGAAGTGGAGAAGAATGAAGTTTTTGTTTTACCGATTAGATTGATGGATCATTACAGAAATGGCTTGTTCGTATTATTATGAAAAAGCAAAAAAGTTGTGATTCGATGTTAAGGCTTTATTTTTACTGCGACAGCGGGAGTCAGAAGTCTCGATGTTTCTTTTTCTTTTCTTTTTTTTCTTATCCTTCCTCACTTCTCTTTCCCCTTTTCTTCCCCACTTCCTTTTCTATTTTATTTTGTATTTTACAATAGTTTATAACTCAATAAAATGTTAAACTGGAAGAAAAAACGTCATAAAATTCGATAGGTCACTTGGAGACCGACTTAATCATCAACATGACCTAGTATTATAATTCTGGGCTCAATTATAATCCTTACAATTACAGTTTGGAAGTCAAAAGATGAGTTTGGAAGTCAAAAGATAAACAAAACACTTCTTGGCTATGGAAAGCAAAGACCTTCAGCTGTCCCAATGCACACTGAAGATACATTAAGGCATTCTGAGTTGAGCAATAGAAAGTGGAATTCTTAGGAAAAGTTGGCTGAGTGTTTCTTTTTTTTAAACTGGGTGTATTAACCAAAGTCACGTGTTTTGTGTCCTTTTTAGCTTTCCAATGATGAAGAAATACACAACGTTGGCACCTTTTTGGCCTTTGGTTTCGGCACTATGGCCTGCTGGATTCAGTCCGCACTAACCCTCAAAATAAACTTGAAGAATGAAGGTAGAAAAGCTGGAATCCCACGCGTGGTTTTGTCAGCGGCAATAACTCTGTGCCTAGTCCTTTGTATCCTTTTCAAAATGCAAGTATTGCTTTTAAAAAAAAACAAACCCAGCTTGCATCCTGATAAGCTGTTTCTGGACTGTTACTAAATTCAGTTCTGTGGCTTTTTTTAAATGTACTTCATTTAATGTTTGGAGAAAACCCCATTTTAAAGCCAAATGGCCCAGATTAGGGATTTTCAAATTTCCCAGGTTTCAATAGTTGAAGAAACAAAGCTTTAGTGTTTAAAAATTAGCCGCATTTGAATTATTGCAGTTGGTTGCACAGTGATGATGTTAAAGCAGTGGTGAAATTCATTTTTTTTTTACTACCGGTTCTAAGGGCGTGGCTTGGTGGGCGTGGTGTGGCTTGGTGAGGAGGACAGGGGAAGGATACAGCAAAATCTCCATTCCCTCCACACTCTGGCGCCAGCCAGAGGTGGCATTTGCCGGTTCTCCGAACTACTCAAAATTTCCACTACTGGTTCTGCAGAACCTGTCAGAACCTGATGGATTTCACCCAGATGTGGGTTCATGCCAGTTCTAACCTCTTCTATAGAAGAGGTTCCACAAATCTACAGTGCCATTTAAAACCGGTTCCAGCTCCAACCCCCCCATCCGCAAATCATCAAGATGAAGAGCGAAAGGAGGAATTCTGGGAGTTGAAGCTGTCAAGTTTGAACACCCCTGGGGTTTTTTTCTGAAGGGTTAATGGTGCAAGGGTCTTGTAACTTGACAGCTGTAAGATTTGCGTGCTTCAAATGCCAAAGTTTCTGAGCCAACATGGGTGGAGGAGGAATTCTGGGAGTTGAAGTCCACAAGTCTTAAAGCTGTCAAGTTTGAACACACCTGGTGTTTTTTTTCTAAATGGTTAGGGGTGCAAGGGTCTTGTAACTTGACAGATTTAAGACTTGCGTGCTTCAAATGCCAGAGTTTCTGAGCCAACATTTTGGCTGCTAAGCAAGAGCGTTGTTAAGTGAGTTTCACCACATTTTACANTATTTTCGTATTTACAATATTCTTTGGTGGAAACTGGCATCTACTTCTTGTTTCTGGCAAACAAAAAACCTCACAATGGTTTGTTTAACATCTATGATGATATTCACTTAATGACTGCCGAGGCTGCAAAACAATGTAAAATCAGGTTGATCCTTGGTCCTATGATGGCTCACTTAACGGCTTAGCGTGACTTATGGCTGTAATTCCAGGCTCAATTATAATTGTAAGGTGGGGACCATCTGTATTTGCACTCTTTTCTTCCTAAGCTCTGTAGTAGGAAAGGAGAAGAACAGAGCAAGGAGTAATATAGGTAGTCCTTGACTTATGGCCACCATTAAGCCTGGAACTTGCTAAGTGAGAAATTGGTTGAGTTTTGTCCCGTTTTATGACTTGCCACATTAGTTAAGTGAATCATTGCAATTGTTAAATTAGTAACACGGTTGTTAAGTGAATCCGGCTTCCCCCATTGACTTTGAATGTCAGAAGGTTGCCAAAGATGGTCACATGACCCTGGGACATCATAAATATGAACCAGTTGTCGAGATATCTGAATGTAAATCATGGTTCACCGACAAAAGGGCGAACGACAAAACCGCAGTGACAAAACCGCGTGTTCTAAAGTGCTCTGACGAATGAGTGTTGAATCGTGCCGACGCGCTGTTGTAAAGCGCCCTTCTGTCTCCGCGCTGATGACGTTGCGGTTTTAGCGACGCGGTTTAGTCGGGCGTGGTTTTGTCGTTCACCCTTTTGTCGGGTCACGGTAAATCACGTCGACCATGGGGGACGCTGGATTGGTACTAATTGTGGAAAAACCACTGTTTTGAATACTGTTGTAACTCCGGTCATTAAATGAATTGTTGTAAGTTGAGGACTACCTGTATTGATCTGGATCTGGGCCTCAGTAAAGGACCCATGTCTGAGGAAAATCTGAATCAAATACCTACAGGTTTAGTTACCAGACAGAAAATTCCTTGATCTGGACAGGATTGTCTTTGTTGGAAACTGGAAGGAGATTGAACAAGTTATCAGCAGTAAAAAATAAAAGTTGATTCCCCCCCCCCCCGCAACAAACGCACATTTTATGGGCAACTGTTGAGTCAGACAGTGAGGAGGTTGGGGAGGAACACGGGCTAGTCCTGGAGTCTGGGGAAGGCTCCGGCGAAGGCTCTGTGTCGGAGGCAGAGAGAGGGCCAAGGCCATCTGGTAGTTATTTGCTGCCTCTGGAGTCTGACACGAGCGAGGCAGAACAACAGCAGGAGCCTGTTCCTACTGTGCGCATGCGCAGAGCTGCCAGGAGAACAGCTGAGAAATCAGGGTCAACTCGGGAGTAAGGCTTGGAGATGATTGCCCCCTCCATAAGACACAAAAGAAGAACGAACGGGACGTGAGCTTTTGCAGGAAGCAATTAGTTCGTCTGGTTGGTTCAAGCTTTGAAAAGTTCGGTTTGACTCTCTGCTAAATTTGGCAATTGGGCCTCTGGCATTATTCCAAGGGAGATAAAGTGGGTGTTTATCAACATTCCCCTGAAGGACTGTGGCAACTCGAGCAGACATCTGTCGGAATCTTCACAGACTGTTTGTGAAGCATTGCGGACTGGGAATGACCATAATTCACAGCCGTATAAATAAAAGAGAGGTTTTGGGGCGAAGATTATGATTTATGCTTTCTTGGGAAGCCTAGGTGAGAACAGCAACAACCTAAGCTGAAGCTACTTTTCGACACAAGTTTCCTACTTCAGTCGTAGATTTTATTTAAAGGCAAGACATGCACCACAAGGCTGACAATGACTAAATTGGTAATATGGAGCCACTTTCCATTAGCATCCAGTCTGGGAAAGATTTATAAGCTGAATACATGAGAATTTTAATAACAGTGTCTGACTTTTCCTACATGTATTGTATAGTGGATTTCTGAGGATCAGCTACTTGTTTGTGTGTAACACACCAAGCCCTGGAACACAACCGCAAGGCCGATTCTAACAACATCTTGAAGTACTGGGAGGGCTGCCCACAACATACATAACAGAGAGGACATCAAATTTTGGAATTAAGATATTGTGCGTTCGCTCCCTTCCAGGCAGCCTACTAGATTCTCTGGACATTTCCAGTTAAATTGGGACGACATCTTAATGATTTCAGTACTTTATCCAGCTTTGCAGTTGTTACAATAGGCCCATTTCCAAGAAAGGCTGCTGGGGGTTCGCAGGGTTTCGGGAGAACTTCCAAGTAAGATTCTGTGCAGTTTGGAGAAATCCCCCCCCAAATCCCACTCCTGGCTGGCCACGCCCACCCCTCCCAGGAGTCCCCATGCGGCTCATTTTGGATGCAGGTAATGGATGCAAGCCGCGTGCACGGGCTCAGGAACGGTGAAAAACTGGCCTACTGGAAGTTTGGGAAGGCTGGAAACGGACCTGTTTCTGGCCTCTAGAGGGCCTTCAGAGCCTGTTTTCACCTTCCCGGAGACTCCAGGAAAGCCTCCGGATCCCGAGGCAGGCAAAAAAACAGGAGGCCGACTAGGTCACACCCACCCAGCAACCGGGCAGAGAACTCCTTGCTAAAAAATTTGAAAGCCCACCCCTGGCTGTAACTCCTAAATAGGTTGGGCGGATGGAAAAAAACAATATTGGCGTGAGTTCCGTTCAATAGGAATTGGGGATTGTTCCCCTTACATCATTAGTGAAAAGGAGCAGGGTTTGAGGAGACAAAATATTAGTTCTAGCAGAACATAAAATGCGCAACATGCTGAAGAGACCAGGACTTCCATTCTGGATTGCTGAAACGCCGGGGAGGCTTGGGAAAAAAATCAACCAAATGGGAAGGAAGAGGGGGTAGTAAACCGTGGCACAACAAAACCGCGCTCGACTAAAGCGTGCCCGATTAAACCGCGTNCCCCCCCCCCCCCCCATTTTTTCTTTTCTGTTTTGCTATCCCCAGGTAGTGCAATGTTCACTATCTTCACAGATTTCTTTGTCTTTCTTATCTAAAATTGCTAAGTTGGGGATGTTACGTGGCAGATGCTTTGTTTGAATTCTAAAGTCCTGGAGCATTTTAGCTTCTTCATTTACTACCAGTTTATCTATTTTGTGATTCCCACCACTTTTTGCTTGCAGGAAATGTTATTTCTTGCAGATCTTCCAATGAATCATTTTTGCTATTTTGTCATGCCATTGTTTGTAGCCAGGATGTGTGATCTTCTTGCAGCTAATTATTATTATTATAATCACAGTTTGAAAAACATTGTTCTTGATGTACTGATTTACTTCTTAAAAAGACTCTGGAAAACCAGGGATTTCAGTGCAATATAAAAAAGTCCACTTAATGAATTTGCAGATGCTGTAACCTTATTCTTACCCTGTTCATCACACATAGCTGCTTAATTAAAATCTTAGATGCACAACATGGTACATCTATGTTGTCCAAGCCTGGAATATCCACCATTCTAGATTTATACATAAATCCATATATTTTGATTTCAAACTCTTATTTTCCATAAACCTTAAAAAACTGTTTTCAGGGTTTATGGAAAATAAGGACAGCAGAGTAAGGACAGCATGTGGATGGCAGAGTAAGCTGAAATCCTGGTCAAAATTTCAGCGCAATGGGGCGGCAATAACATGGACATGTTTTTGCATTCTTTGATGGCATTTGGGGCTGTCCGCATTGTGTGAATACAGGTGTATCCACATGAGACTTGCAGTGAACAGACAGGATCTCTCTACATTTAATAGTTTAATCATTCAATGGAAAATGAATTTGCTAGATATTTTTCTTAGTATTCCAATGTTCATGTGTATCTAAATTTTCAAAGTCTATTTGGACTTTTCTGTGGAATGTTCTCTCCCTAGAAAAAGAATGGAAAATGCGCAGCCCTGAACTCAAACAGAAAGTTCAGTATTGTGAAATTATGAAAATTTCAATCTAAAAACAGCTGGAGGCCAACCCATAGACCACTGGGACGTTCCTACAGCTTGAGAAAATAACCCACAGGGAATATCCTGTTTCTTTCTTGATGAGATCATTTTTAAGCAGGTCTTGAATATAGGCTTATGCTATTAAAAATTCCAGCTCTAATGCTTTATGTCAAAGATTTTCCAAACCTATTTAGGCTGTGAAATCTGTTAGTTAGAAAGAAATTTTTCCCAGATTGCCGACACCAGAAACAAACCCTGAAGATTTAAAAAAATGGCTGTGTTTCAAATAACTTATTTATTCATCCTTTTTTTCCCCTTAATCTGCCACATATGCCATGCCTTATCAAATTCTTGTAGAACTTTAGGGTTGTGCAAAACACTACTTAATCACCTACCCTAATCACAATCAGTCTGATGGCATACGCCTCGTCTTCCTGAGAAATTTACCTTTATTGTAACATGCGATATCTTTGTGTTAATAAATATATACTGTTGGTGGGGGGGTCACAAGCAGCAATATATGTATGAATCTTATCAGCCCAGGAATAACATTTCCAGTTGCTTACCTTAGGTTGATATGGTTTTGTTCTCGTGACTAACGAAGTTGCAAACCTTGAATAAGCAATACAAAATAGAGCTTACAATTCTGCCAACTATTTCCATGGCTAAGCAAGAGTTGTTTTGCCCATTTTATGACCTTGCCACAGTTGTTAAGTGAATCACTGCAGTTGTTAAGTTAGTAACACAGTTGTTAAGTGAATCTGGCTTCCTCATTGACTTGTCAGAAGATCACAAAAAGTTTTCCTATCTTTCCTCGCTTTTCTTTCTCTTTCCCCTTTTCCCTTCCCGCACATTGTCCTCTTATTTACTGTTGTATTTTGTATTCTACAATACTTAATAACTTAAGAAAATGTGATTGGAAGATCACAAAAAATGATCACATGTGCTCCCCCCCCCCCGACACTTATAAATACATGCTGGTTGCCAAGCTCCTGACTTTTGATCGTGTGATCATGGGGATGCTGCGACAGTGTGTGAAAAATGGTCATAAATCACTTTTCTCAGTGCCCATGACATTTTGAACCGTCACTCAACAAATGGTTGTAAGTCAAGGACTGCCTTTAATGCTGCTTTTCCTGGTGAGGCGTGGGTTTGATGGGATCAGAGGTAGTATTCAGCCAGTTCTGACTGGTTCTATTGAACCGGTAGCGGAAATTTTGACTAGTTTGGAGACTGCCACCTCTGGCTAACTCCGCCCCCATCTATTCGCTGCCTCCAAAGTCCCAGTTGATTGGCTTGATCTTCTTTTGTTGACCTGCACAAGAGAACAGAACTGGAAAGCAGGTTAGTAGGGTGGGGAGGGAATGGGAATTTTGCAGTATTCTTCCCCTGCCATGCCCACCAAGCCACACCCACAGAACTGGTAGTAAAAAATTTTGAATCCCACCACTAGATGGGATTTACTATATTTTTTGGAGTATAAGACACACCCTTCCCCCCCCCCCCAAAAAAAAGAGGATGAAAATCTGGGTGCATCTTATGCACTGAATACTGCATTTTTGGCCTCCTGAAACCCCGCCCCCTTTGCAAAAATGACCATGCAGCGCCTTCAGGAGGCTTCCAGGGTGCTCCTGAGGGCTGGGGAGAGCAAAAATGAGTGAAAAATGGACCATTTTTTGCTCGTTTTTGCCCCCCCCCACAGCCCCTAGGAGCACTCTATAAGCCTCCTAAAGGCTATGCATGCCATTTTTTTTGACAAAAAACGGCCGTTTTTGGGAGGTCTGCAGAGTGCAAAAACTTTTTTTTTTTTAAATTTGCCTCATCAAAAATCTTGGTGCATCTTATACTCCGGTGCATCTTATACTCTGAAAAATACGGTAGGTTTCAGGTATAGCCCTGATTCCCAGAGGCATTTCAATGCTTGCTCCTCTTACTGTGTATGTTTCTGTGCCTTTTCCTTGACCCTCCTTCAGATTTCATTTTGATGAATCAGTTTAAGTTGCACATGCAGGCGTCACGGATCCAGTGGGGGATGGTGATGTGCTTCCTGTGTTTCTTCGGCTCCTTCGCGGTGGAATTCAGACACTACCGGTTCGAGATCATTTGCTCCGAGTACCAAGAGAATTTCCTCAGCTTCTCCGAAACCCTCTCTGAAGCCTCCGAGTATCAAACGGATCAGGTGTAACCCAACTCCCAAACTGACCAGGCGGATGATGTTTGATGTCAAAGGATTGAACTCAACGGCCCCCTTTCATTTACCGTGATTTAGTCTTTTTGTTTTTGCTAATTTCTCTCTGCGGTCGCCCAAACTTTCTTCCGAAGAATGAACCAGATGCCTCTTTGCATGGATTCCAAATATATATAAATGTTTCCAACTGAATCGCTTTCGGTTTGAGCACAAACACCCTGCGTCAAAATTCTGTGGAGATTCTCAGTCACCTGGATCGTGGTTGTCCCAACTGGACTTTTGTTTTTCCTTGAAGATGTTTCGCTACTCATCCAAGAAGCTTCTTCCGTTCTGACTTCAGTTCCTTTCAGTTCTTCACTCAGAACGGAAAAAGCTTCTTGGATGAGTAGCGAAATGTCTTCAAAGTCCGGTTGCTTTTTGGAGGGGGGGAAAAAAAACCCTCCACCTCTTTCAGGACATTCTTGCCTGAAATACAAGCGCAAAGCGGGAAACTTCCTCCACGTTTTCCGGGCTCAAAGCAGAGCATTGCTGGCGCATTTCGCCCAATGTGCAAAACATTCCGAGTCTTGCTTAGGATAAGTGGTTGTGCTTTTAGGACAGGGTGCTTGGCCCACCAAATGGCTCAGTTTGAAATATTTTGTCTACACTACCTCTTTGCTCTTTTTTTTTTTTTTTTTGCTTAAGGCATTTTATAACACGGTATGAGATGTTGGGTTTACGTTTTTCCCCCCATAGTTCCTTTGTGACTGGCTGAAAGAACTTACTAATTTCGCATTATGTTATGTTATGCAAGAGGCAGCAGAGAACTATGAACAATTGCTATCTGCATACTGTACAGTATATGCGGTTGCACCTTGACTATGAAAAATGGAAAGGGAGGGTCGTGTTACCTGCAAGAAGACCAGGGTTACGCAGCAACCATGGTCCATGGACATATCACAGGGCATCGACCGGGTGGTGGTGGTGTTATCCAGATTTGCAAAACCCAAGTGTCAAGTTGCAATGCAAGCTGCATCTGATGTCTATTATGCACACACCATACAGAAGACGGGCTATGCCTGTGACAGGGTTAGGAGTGTGATACCACAGTTAGTATCTTGCAGATCATTGTGCGTGTAAGCTTTACTAGAACCTGTACATTTGGCCATGGAATCTACAGTTCCCACGTCGATTATGGTGGAGGTTTGCAAACCGGTTTCCTGTGTTACTGACTTTAGGGGTTCAGTCGTTTGCTGAGGTGCAATCTTATCTTTCCCTCCCATTGTTTTTTGCATTTTAGACTGTCCAATTTTACTGCAGCCTGGTCCATTCGAGTGAGCAGATGGTGCTTGACTTCACAAAAACCAGACCTTTGATTGCCTTCCCATATTCTGGTGCTTTTGCCACCCTTTATACTGAAAAAAAGTTCACTTCTCACTGACTTGGGGAACAAGAAGACAAAGAAACAGGGACCTTTTTGTGCGGCTTCCCTCTGGGGCCCGGTGAATGGATGATGGTCTTGTTAGGATTGGGATAGGATAGGATTGTTTCTGAGCCTTTAATATTGGCATAGAGGCAGGAATCTCAAGGGCCTCTTCCTGCAAAATCCTCTTTCCTAGGCGATTTTTCCAAATTGCATATGACTTTTCTTTTCCCCATATAAGGCCTGTACATTTAACATATCTTTTTTTTTTCAGAGTTTGGAAGATGTTTCTATGCTGGAATTTTAAGACTAGATACGCCAGTGTGAAGCTGTGGGGTAGAACTGTTACTTAAGGAGAAAAGTGTAACGTGGCTTGAAGTGGCAAAAATAAAATAAAATCAGCAGAGGTTGGAACGTTCAAGTAGAACATTCAGTTGCCCCTTGTAAAGGGGCAATTGAAAAGTTGCTAATTTGCCATATGGAATAATCAAATCACTACAGTTGAAGGTCTAGACTTTTGGGATGAAATTATTCGCCACATAATCCTTTCTACCTTTACATCAGAGGAAGTCTCACGGAACACAAATGGGAGGGGGGGGGGGGCTTGAAACATAAATTGGATTAAGTCCAAAACATTAAATTTCAAGAATTGGGCCAGAATCTCGATTGAGATAGTGAATGCTTGAATTAGGAGTCAGAAAATATTTAACGGGGAGAGCAGTGAATTGGGTGAAAAGCTTAAGTTTAATAATTAGAAATAGGAGACCTGTCAAAGTGGTAATGGTTTTCTACAGTAGGACATAAAACGCACACGGAATTGTAAAATACACAAGTGTTTCTATAGTAGACGGGTTTACAAGAGTGGCTGTAAGGAAGGTGTAGCTAGCTAAATGCTGTTCAGATGTTTTGGAACTCGTTTTCCCATCAGCTCTGGACAGGATGGCCAAGGGCAAGAGATTATATTACAAACATCTGGTGGGTTAACAGGTTGCTTACCCCAGCTGTAGAGGAATCCAAACCAGCTGTGCGTCTGCAGTTACGAAAAGGTTGAAAATATAAGAAATCCACCAACAAGCAGCTAAATGGGTTTCTGTTAGAATGTGTTTTACTGTAAATAGTTCATTGTGAATTTTTTTAAAAACTGTTTTATGTTGTATCATTTATATTTTGCATTTTTTTTTCCTGAAAGGGGAGGAAAAAAATTGTTTTGTGAACATTTCCTCTCTCTCCATTGAATATGCAACCCAACTCTTTTTCACGATAAGAGTGTAAATACCTTTTAAGTATTTCTTACGGCACGTTTTTCAATATGGTTGAGCAAAGACTTCATAACTGCATACTGACACGTGACCACTCAATAAATTTCTTTTATGGAAAGCTTGGGCTTTGTTTTGTGCTTGCACCTACACAACATATTTATATCCTTGCCTGCTTTATAAAGCTGAGCCCAAATGCCAAGCAATTAAAAATATTCAAAGGAGCCCACTGAGAATAGCATTGTTGCGCAAATACTTACAGAAACACCTGTGTTCTTGCAGGGAAGAAACTGATAATCCAGAAGCAATTCAGCCAAAACTAAAGGTAGAGGGAATTATATGAAAGTTACGTTTTTCTCCATGGGAAATGTACAGGTAATCCTTGACTTATAACTGGTCACTTACTGACCATTCAAAATTGTTATGGACCTGGACCTCATGATGTGAATTCAGTTTCAATGGCTGCTCTTTCTGGTCACGGGATCGTATTTTGGACGCTTGGCAAGCTGCTCGCATTTATGACCGTTTGCAGTACCTGTGGCCGCATGACGGCAATTTTATTCATTTATTTTCGTATTTACAATATTCTTTGGTGGAAACTGGCATCTACTTCTTGTTTCTGGCAAACAAAAAACCTCACAATGGTTTGTTTAACATCTATGATGATATTCACTTAATGACTGCCGAGGCTGCAAAACAATGTAAAATCAGGTTGATCCTTGGTCCTATGATGGCTCACTTAACGGCTTAGCGTGACTTATGGCTGTAATTCCAGGCTCAATTATAATTGTAAGGTGGGGACCATCTGTATTTGCACTCTTTTCTTCCTAAGCTCTGTAGTAGGAAAGGAGAAGAACAGAGCAAGGAGTAATATAGGTAGTCCTTGACTTATGGCCACCATTAAGCCTGGAACTTGCTAAGTGAGAAATTGGTTGAGTTTTGTCCCGTTTTATGACTTGCCACATTAGTTAAGTGAATCATTGCAATTGTTAAATTAGTAACATGGTTGTTAAGTGAATCCGGCTTCCCCCATTGACTTTGAATGTCAGAAGGTTGCCAAAGATGGTCACATGACCCTGGGACATCATAAATATGAACCAGTTGTCGAGATATCTGAATGTAAATCATGGTTCA